TTAATGGCCTGTCTTACATGCTTCTTGATATATGAATCAGTACTTGTGGTACTGTTTCTGAGATGTTATATAAATCAATACTTGTGGTATTGTTTCTGAGATGATATATAAATCAGTACTTGTGGTATTGTTTCTGAGATGATATATAAATCAGTACTTGTGGTATTGTTTCTGAGATGATATATGAATCAGTACTTGTGGTACTGTTTCTGAGATGATATATGAATCAGTACTTGTGGTACTGTTTCTGAGATGTTATATAAATCAGTACTTGTGGTACTGTTTCTGAGATGATATATAAATCAGTACTTGTGGTACTGTTTCTGAGATGATATATAAATCAGTACTTGTGGTACTGTTTCTGAGATAATATATAAATCAGTACTTGTGGTACTGTTTCTGAGATGATATATGAATCAGTACTTGTGGTACTGTTTCTGAGATGTTATATAAATCAGTACTTGTGGTACTGTTTCTGAGATGATATATAAATCAATACTTGTGGGATTGTTTCTGAGATGATATATAAATCAATACTTGTGGGATTGTTTCTGAGATGATATATAAATCAGTACTTGTGGTACTGTTTCTGAGATGATATATAAATCAATACTTGTGGGATTGTTTCTGAGATGATATATAAATCAGTACTTGTGGTATTGTTTCTGAGATGAACTTGTGAATAATTCATATGCTTATAATTAATTATTGATTTTAGAGATGCCTTTGAAACAATCATATCAATCACATATTTAAGTATACATGCTTAAAAATCTTCAGGCAATGTCTTGACCCCATTGGGTCTTGTAATAGGCCCACTTACTAGCTTTGAGTCAGAAGTAATATGTTGACCCCTTGGGACCTGTGTTAAGCCTTCCCTGTAAATTTGAGTCATAGGTAATGTGTTGATGCCCTGTGGTCCTGTAATAAGCCCTCCCCCTAACTTTGTGTCAGAGGAAAATATTGATCCCCTGGGGTTCTTTAATAACCCCATTCACTAACTTTGTGTCATTGGTAACATATTGACCCCATTGGGTCCTGTAATAACCCCACACACTAAATTTAAATCAGAGGTAACATGTTGACCCCCTGGGGTCCTGTAATAACCCCACACACTTAATTTAAATCAGAGGTAACATGTTGACCCCCTGGGGTCCTGTAATAACCCCACACACTAAATTTAAATCAGAGGTATCATGTTGACCCCCTGGGGTCCTGTAATAACCCCACACACTTAATTTAAGTCAGAGGTAACATGTTGACCCCCTGGGGTCCTGTAATAACCCCACACACTTAATTTAAGTCAGAGGTAACATGTTGACCCCCTGGGGTCCTGTAATAACCCCCACACACTTAATTTAAGTCAGAGGTAACATGTTGACCCCCTGGGATCCTGTAATAACCCCACACACTAAATTTAAGTCAGAGGTAACATGTTGAACCCCTGGGGTTCTGTAATAACCCCACACACTAAATTTAAGTCAGAGGTAACTTGTTGACCCCCTGGGGTCCTGTAATAACCCCACACACTTAATTTAAGTCAGAGGTAACATGTTGACCCCCTGGGGTCCTGTAATAACCCCCACACACTTAATTTAAGTCAGAGGTAACATGTTGACCCCCTGGGATCCTGTAATAACCCCACACACTAAATTTAAGTCAGAGGTAACATGTTGACCCCCTATATGTTTTCCTATATTATTATTAATTTGATTAAAAAACATTCCTTGGTACAGACTTTATTTATTTGACAATAATTGTTAAATAAGATATCCAACTAATCATTACAATAATTGTTAGATATCCAACTAATCATTACAATTATTGTTAGATATCCAACTAATCATTACAATAATTGTTAGATATCCAACTAATCACTACAATTATTGTTAGATATCCAACTAATCATTACAATTATTGTTAGATATCCAACTAATCATTACAATAATTGTTAGATATCCAACTAATCATTACAATTATTGTTAGATATCCAACTAATCACTACAATAATTGTTAGATATCCAACTAATCATTACAATAATTGTTAGATATCCAACTAATCACTACAATTATTGTTAGATATCCAACTAATCATTACAATAATTGTTAGATATCCAACTAATCACTACAATTATTGTTAGATATCCAACTAATCACTACAATTATTGTTAGATATCCAACTAATCATTACAATAATTGTTAGATATCCAACTAATCACTACAATTATTGTTAGATATCCAACTAATCATTACAATAATTGTTAGATATCCAACTAATCATTACAATAATTGTTAGATATCCAACTAATCATTACAATAATTGTTAGATATCCAACTAATCACTACAATAATTGTTAGATATCCAACTAATCACTACAATTATTGTTAGATATCCAACTAATCATTACAATAATTGTTAGATATCCAACTAATCACTACAATTATTGTTAGATATCCAACTAATCATTACAATAATTGTTAGATATCCAACTAATCATTACAATTATTGTTAGATATCCAACTAATCACTACAATTATTGTTAGATATCCAACTAATCACTACAATTATTGTTAGATATCCAACTAATCATTACAATAATTGTTAGATATCCAACTAATCATTACAATTATTGTTAGATATCCAACTAATCACTACAATTATTGTTAGATATCCAACTAATCACTACAATTATTGTTAGATATCCAACTAATCACTACAATTATTGTTAGATATCCAACTAATCACTACAATTATTGTTAGATATCCAACTAATCACTACAATTATTGTTAGATATCCAACTAATCACTACAATTATTGTTAGATATCCAACTAATCACTACAATTATTGTTAGATATCCAACTAATCACTACAATTATTGTTAGATATCCAACTAATCACTACAATTATTGTTAGATATCCAACTAATCACTACAATTATTGTTAGATATCCAACTAATCACTACAATTATTGTTAGATATCCAACTAATCACTACAATTATTGTTAGATATCCAACTAATCACTACAATTATTGTTAGTTATCCAACTAATCACTACAATTATTGTTAGATATCCAACTAATCACTACAATTATTGTTAGATATCCAACTAATCATTACAATAATTGTTAGATATCCAACTAATCATTACAATTATTGTTAGATATCCAACTAATCACTACAATTATTGTTAGATATCCAACTAATCACTACAATTATTGTTAGATATCCAACTAATCATTACAATAATTGTTAGATATCCAACTAATCATTACAATAATTGTTAGATATCCAACTAATCACTACAATTATTGTTAGATATCCAACTAATCACTACAATAATTGTTAGATATCCAACTAATCACTACAATTATTGTTAGATATCCAACTAATCACTACAATTATTGTTAGATATCCAACTAATCATTACAATAATTGTTAGATATCCAACTAATCATTACAATAATTGTTAGATATCCAACTAATCACTACAATTATTGTTAGATATCCAACTAATCATTACAATAATTGTTAGATATCCAACTAATCACTACAATTATTGTTAGATATCCAACTAATCACTACAATAATTGTTAGATATCCAACTAATCACTACAATTATTGTTAGATATCCAACTAATCATTACAATAATTGTTAGATATCCAACTAATCACTACAATTATTGTTAGATATCCAACTAATCACTACAATTATTGTTAGATATCCAACTAATCATTACAATAATTGTTAAATAAGATATCCAACTTATCACTATCTCTATTGTTTGTAGGATAGAAGTGTGTGAGGGTCTTGTTGTGGGAGGAAACCAAGGAAAAACATAATGGGTGGGAAGGTGACCCCATACTTTTTTAGTCCATTTGGGAAATTGAACCTTGGACATTTAGGTGTGCCGTGTGACCACCATTCCTTATTTTAAGAATTGTTGTTTTTAAGTAAATATATACATGTTTTTGAGCTCACGAAATTAAACATTTGATATAGTTCTTGATAGCGTTGATTTGAAATTATTTCATCACTAAATGCAGCATTTTCAGTACAAAGGTATGTGCTTAGGATCACTGTATAATTGAAATATTTATAATGAGAACAGTTGTAGAAGGAGAACCGAGATAACTTACGTCTGATTGATCTTTGAGATTGTAATTAGGAATGACTGTGACTAGAGGGGTTTGTAAGTGAAACGAAAATGTCTTAATGGATACAACTAAAGAAACGAAGTCATCAAAATGCCTGAATTTACAATAATTTTATAATGATATGGGGTCAATAGTGAACAATCATACATTGGCCTCACCATAGAAATAGTGGATTTTCCTGTTGTATCACTAGTGGTAGACGTTATTGTGTATAGAGAAACTGTAGTCTGATCAATATTACTGTGATGAATCTATTATATAGTTCACAAGCAAATCAGTGGATTTGACATTATTTTTCCTTAGTTTTGATTTAGCTGAGAATAACCTTGTAAGGTCAGGTCAATAGGTTGTAATCCATGATAAAATTTACAGTTTGTATTATTAATTGAAATGTGGACTAATAGATAGTGTCTTACTGAAAGTCAGGGGCTGGAGTCATTACAGAATACTGTATTATGGAGAGGATAGATTATAAGTTTTTCAACTTGTGGCTGATCCCATTTTTGTGTTTGCAAATAAAACATGTTTAAATCAATTGGAATAGCATTTGGGATGCTACTGATCAGCAAAGAGATGGGCTTATTATCATACATGTGCTCATTGCGGGTTGAATACATTGTTCTACATGTATTCCTTAATAGAATAGTAAAACGTGACTGTGGTCAAATTTAGTAGGTGGGAACATTTATGGGTTTGAGGTGTTGGGACTAAGTTTTGGTGAGCCCACTGTGTTATACAATTTCTAGTATATTTAGCTCCTTTGTAATGACCTAGGTAATGACAATAAATAATAGGTATGTTTAGAAGCAGTAAACATTGATTATCCTGTCTTTCCTTACAGCTGGCAGTGATTACAGCATCAGGTAGTGAGGATAGTGTGTCAACAGCAGTGTATCTGGCCATCCTTAAAGGCCTAGAGCGCCTCCTACTCACAGATGTTCTCTCAAAACAGGATGCTGAGGCCATTATCAAACTCGGGGTTGACAGGTAGGGTATTGGAAGGCTGGTTATATATAATGAATATAAACAAGTCTATATTTGTGTAATAAAAAGTTTGATGGCCTTCTTTATAGATCTGGATACCTTTTGAAAGATATTTTCTATGAATTACAGTCATTTATTTGTATTTTTTATAGATTGTGCTTGCCTAGTCCACAGAGGTCATTGGCAGCTCTTGGTCTGATGTTTACTTGTATGTACTCAGGTAAGTCAGACCTTCATCTTGTGGTAACCTGTATGAACTCAGATAAGTCCAGTCTTCGTCTCATGTTCATTTGTATGTACTCAGATAAGTCCAGTCTTCGTCTCATGTTCATTTGTATGTACTCAGGTGAATCCTGTCATTCTCTCATATTTACATGTATGTTCTCAGGTAAATCCTATGTTGGTCTCATGTTTACCTACATTACCTACATGTACTCAGATAAGTCCTCTGTTGGTCTCATATTTACCTGCATGTACTCAGATAAGTCCTCTGTTGGTCTCATGTTTACCTGTATGTACTCAGGTAAATCCTATGTTGGTCTCATGTTTACCTGTATGTACTCAGGTAAATCCTATGTTGGTCTCATGTTTACCTGTATGTACTCAGGTAAATCCTATGTTGGTCTCATGTTTACCTGTATGTACTCAGGTAAATTCTCTGTTGGTCTCATGTTTACCTGTATGATCCAGATAAGTCCTGTCCTTTTTCCCACGTTCAACTACCGGTATATGTACTTAGATATGTCTTGACTTTGTCCCATGTTTACATGTATGCACGAAGGTAAATTCTCTGGTGGTCACATGTTTACCTGTATTTTCTCAGATTTGTCCTCTGCTGTGTCACATGTTTACCTGCATATAAAATTCAATGAAAACTATGCAGTGGAAATGGTAAACAGGACTTGTTTTACTTTGTGTACAGGTAAACAATATGACCAGTACAGCCCATCCCCACGTGATGCAGAGCCCGGTACTACAGCTTACGACTTTGAAGTGGTGTACCAAGACCCTGAGTCACTCATTCTTGCCATGGAGCGAGTCACTGTTCTCTTTGACAGGTAAGATGAGTTATTGTAGAAACAGATCTTGTACTAATGTGTCACAGGTAAACTAAAGCCTGTTAGATACTCAGCACTTGCCAAAGATTGAATTTCTCTGCTAATTTACTTCTATAAAAGCTTCCAGTGCTTTTGATAAAGGGATTGAAATATATGCTATTGTCTGTTTAAAAATTATATTGTTTATAGCTTTATATGTATATGCGCTATATTCTTTTTCTGATTATGTTTTGTAATGCTACAGCAGTTGTCTTTATCTAACCAACAGACAGATTCCCCATATTTATAAGCCCACCATCAGATGGTGGGCTATTCAAATCGCCCTGCGTCCCTGGTCCGTCCGTCCGTCCGTTCGTCCGTAAACAATTCTTGTTACCGCTATTTATGGAAAAGTACCAGATGGATCTTTCTCAGATTTCATATGCAGGTTCCCCTTGGTCCCTAGTTGTGCATTGTACCTTTTTTGGACTAATTTGAATTCAAGATGGCCGACAGGCAGCCATCTTGGAGTTTGAAAGTAAAAGTTTGTTAACGCTATTTCTGGGAAAGTACTGGATGGATCTTTCTCAAATTTCATAGGGAGCTTCCCCTTGGTCCCTAGTTGTGCAGTGTACTGACTGATTCGAATTCAAGATGGCTGACAGGTAGCCATCTTGGATTTTGAGAGTAAAATCTTGTTACCGCTATTTCTGAGGAAGTACTGGATGGATCCTTCTGATATTTCATAGTTATTGGTTTCCCTTGGTCCCTAGTTGTGCATTGTACCTTTTTTGGACTGATTTGAAATCAAGGTGGCCCACAGGCAGCCTTCTTGGATGTCGACAGTAATACAAAACAAGCATATTTTCTTCGATATTCTATCATATTGATTCAAGACCATGTCCATTATCCACCTGTAACTGACTGATATCTAATAATACTTTGGGATCTTTTTCAAATGATATTTGCTAATAGGTGCTTAATAAAAATATCTTGTGCCATCATTGAGTACATTCAATGAAGACCAGTTCATGAACATTTACAACACCTGTAACAAAAAAAAAATCAACAAATCTTCAAGAACTGAAAACAGATCCTCAAATGGTGGGCGCCAAGATCCCTCTGGGATCTCTTGTATTGAGTAAAACTTTGTATCTGTCTTCCAGGATACCATATTAGAAAAATGTCATTTTGGCTGCAATATTGTAATAAGAAGTGAAAAAATGATAAACGTTTCTGTTTGTAGAATTTCCTCTTTGAATGATATTTGTATTGTAGGATTAAAAAAGGCTACCCTTATGAGGCACGTGTGATATCACGAGTACTGCCAACATTCCTGGCTGACTTTTTTCCACCTCAGGATGTGATGAACAAGGTCATTGGGGAGTTCATTTCCTCACAGCAGCCATACCCACAGGTTGTTGCTAAGGTTGTGTTCCAGGTAAGTCTGATAGTTCTGATGATATAGGTATAAGGAATAGGCAGTCATGTTCTTGTTGGTTCAGTTACCAACACCAGGTATATTTGTTGTTTATGTTGTACAAGTATACAAATTCTATTATAATTTACATTTAAATTACTTCTTCTCATGACCCAAAAGACCTAGAGGCATGATATATAGCTGATATGGTCATAGGATGAAGACATTGGGATGAGAAACATTAAGTATTGCCCAGTGTATAAGACATTGGGATGAGAAACATTAAGTATTGCCCAGTGTATAAGACATTGGGATGAGGAACATTAAATATTGTCCAGTGTATTTGTCAGTGGGATGAGGAACATTAAGTATTGCCCAGTGTATTTGTCAGTGGGATGAGAAACATTAAGTATTGCCCAGTGTATAAGACATTGGGATGAGGAACATTAAGTATTGCCCAGTGTATAAGACATTGGGATGAGAAACATTAAGTATTGCCCAGTGTATTTGTCAGTGGGATGAGGAACATTAAGTATTGCCCAGTGTATAAGACATTGGGATGAGGAACATTAAGTATTGCCCAGTGTATTTGTCAGTGGGATGAGAAACATTAAGTATTGCCCAGTGTATTTGTCAGTGGGATGAGGAACATTAAGTATTGCCCAGTGTATAAGACATTGGGATGAGGAACATTAAGTATTGCCCAGTATATTTGTCAGTGGGATGAGAAACATTAAGTATTGCCCAGTGTATAAGACATTGGGATGAGGAACATTAAGTATTGCCCAGTGTATAAGACATTGGGATGAGAAACATTAAGTATTGCCCAGTGTATTTGTCAGTGGGATGAGGAACATTAAGTATTGCCCAGTGTATAAGACATTGGGATGAGGAACATTAAGTATTGCCCAGTGTATTTGTCAGTGGGATGAGAAACATTAAGTATTGCCCAGTGTATAAGACATTGGGATGAGGAACATTAAATATTGTCCAGTGTATTTGTCAGTGGGATGAGGAACATTAAGTATTGCCCAGTGTATTTGTCAGTGGGATGAGGAACATTAAGTATTGCCCAGTGTATTTGTCAGTGGGATGAGAAACATTAAGTATTGCCCAGTGTATAAGACATTGGGATGAGGAACATTAAGTATTGCCCAGTGTATAAGACATTGGGATGAGAAACATTAAGTATTGCCCAGTGTATTTGTCAGTGGGATGAGGAACATTAAGTATTGCCCAGTGTATAAGACATTGGGATGAGGAACATTAAGTATTGCCCAGTGTATTTGTCAGTGGGATGAGAAACATTAAGTATTGCCCAGTGTATAAGACATTGGGATGAGGAACATTAAGTATTGCCCAGTGTATTTGTCAGTGGGATGAGAAACATTAAGTATTGCCCAGTGTGTTTGTCAGTGGGATGAGGAACATTAAGTATTGCCCAGTGTATAAGACATTGGGATGAGAAACATTAAGTATTGCCCAGTGTATTTGTCAGTGGGATGAGGAACATTACGTATTGCCCAGTGTATAAGACATTGGGATGAGAAACATTAAATATTGTCCAGTGTATTTGTCAGTGGGATGAGGAACATTAAGTATTGCCCAGTGTATTTGTCAGTGGGATGAGAAACATTAAGTATTGCCCAGTGTATTTGTCAGTGGGATGAGGAACATTAAGTATTGCCCAGTGTATAAGACATTGGGATGAGGAACATTAAGTATTGCCCAGTGTATTTGTCATGGGATGAGGAACATTAAGTATTGCCCAGTGGTCAGTGGGATGAGGAACATTAAGTATTGCCCAGTGTATGCCCAGTGTATGACATTGGGATGAGAAACATTAAGTATTGTGTATAAGACATTGGGATGAGGAACATTAAGTATTGCCCAGTGTATAAGACATTGGGATGAGGAACATTAAGTATTGCCCAGTGTATTTGTCAGTGGGATGAGAAACATTAAGTATTGCCCAGTGTATAAGACATTGGGATGAGAAACATTAAGTATTGCCCAGTGTATTTGTCAGTGGGATGAGGAACATTAAGTATTGCCCAGTGTATTTGTCAGTGGGATGAGGAACATTAAGTATTGCCCAGGAACATTAAGTATTGCCCAGTGTATTTGTCAGTGGGATGAGGAACATTAAGTATTGCCCAGTGTATTTGTATGAGAAACATTAAGTATTGCCCAGTGTATTTGTCAGTGGGATGAGAAACATTAAGTATTGCCCAGTGTATAAGACATTGGGATGAGAAACATTAAGTATTGCCCAGTGTATAAGACATTAGGATGAGAAACATTAAGTATTGCCCAGTGTGTTTGTCAGTGGGATGAGGAACATTACGTATTGCCCAGTGTATAAGACATTGGGATGAGAAACATTAAGTATTGCCCAGTGTATTTGTCAGTGGGATGAGGAACATTACGTATTGCCCAGTGTATAAGACATTGGGATGAGAAACATTAAGTATTGCCCAGTGTATAAGACATTGGGATGAGGAACATTAAGTATTATTGCCCAGACATTGGGATGAAACATTAAGTATTGCCCAGTGTCAGTGGGATGAGGAACATTAAGTATTGCCCAGTGTATAAGACATGGGATGAGAACATTAAGTATTGCCCAGTGTATAAGACATTGGGAGTGGGATGAGGAACATTAAGTATTGCCCAGTGTATAAGACAGAAACATTAAGTATTGCCCAGTGTATTTGTCAGTGGGATGAGGAACATTACGTATTGCCCAGTGTATTTGTCAGTGGGATGAGGAACATTAAGTATTGCCCAGTGTATAAGACATTGGGATGAGAAACATTAAGTATTGCCCAGTGTATAAGACATTGGGATGAGAAACATTAAGTATTGCCCAGTGTATTTGTCAGTGGGATGAGAAACATTAAGTATTGATTGCCCAGTGTAATATTGCCCAGTGTATAAGACATTGGGATGATGAGGAACATTAAGTATTGCCCAGTGTATAAGACATTGGGATGAGAAACATTAAGTATTGCCCAGTGTATAAGACATTGGGATGAGTAACATTAAGTATTGCCCAGTGTATAAGACATTGGGATGAGAAACATTAAGTATTGCCCAGTGTATAAGACATTGGGATGAGAAACATTAAGTATTGCCCAGTGTATAAGACATTGGGATGAGAAACATTAAGTAAACATTGAGAAAATTAAGTATTGCCCAGTGTATAAGACATTGGGATGAGAAACATTAAGTATTGCCCAGTGTATAAGACATTGGGATGAGAAACATTAAGTATTGCCCAGTGTATAAGACATTGGGATGAGAAACATTAAGTATTGCCCAGTGTATTTGTCAGTGGGATGAGAAACATTAAGTATTGCCCAGTGTATAAGACATTGGGATGAGAAACATTAAGTATTGCCCAGTGTATTTGTCAGTGGGATGAGGAACATTAAGTATTGCCCAGTGTATAAGACATTGGGATGAAAACATTAAGTATTGCCCAGTGTATTTGTCAGTGGGATGAGGAACATTAAATATTGTCCAGTGTATAAGACATTGGGATGAGAAACATTAAGTATTGCCCAGTGTATAAGACATTGGGATGAGAAACATTAAGTATTGCCCAGTGTATTTGTCAGTGGGATGAGGAACATTAAGTATTGCCCAGTGTATAAGACATTGGGATGAGAAACATTAAGTATTGCCCAGTGTATTTGTCAGTGGGATGAGAAACATTAAGTATTGCCCAGTGTATAAGACATTGGGATGAGAAACATTAAGTATTGCCCAGTGTATTTGTCAGTGGGATGAGGAACATTAAGTATTGCCCAGTGTATAAGACATTGGGATGAGAAACATTAAGTATTGCCCAGTGTATTTGTCAGTGGGATGAGAAACATTAAGTATTGCCCAGTGTATAAGACATTGGGATGAGAAACATTAAGTATTGCCCAGTGTATAAGACATTAGGATGAGAAACATTAAGTATTGCCCAGTGTATTTGTCAGTGGGATGAGAAACATTAAGTATTGCCCAGTGTATAAGACATTGGGATGAGAAACATTAAGTATTGCCCAGTGTATTTGTCAGTGGGATGAGGAACATTAAGTATTGCCCAGTGTATAAGACATTGGGATGAGAAACATTAAGTATTGCCCAGTGTATTTGTCAGTGGGATGAGGAACATTAAGTATTGCCCAGTGTATAAGACATTGGGATGAGAAACATTAAATATTGCCCAGTGTATAAGACATTGGGATGAGAAACATTAAGTATTGCCCAGTGTATTTGTCAGTGGGATGAGAAACATTAAGTATTGCCCAGTGTATAAGACATTGGGATGAGAAACATTAAGTATTGCCCAGTGTATTTGTCAGTGGGATGAGGAACATTAAGTATTGCCCAGTGTATAAGACATTGGGATGAGAAACATTAAATATTGCCCAGTGTATAAGACATTGGGATGAGAAACATTAAGTATTGTCCAGTGTATAAGACATTGGGATGAGAAACATTAAGTATTGCCCAGTGTATAAGACATTGGGATGAGGAACATTAAGTATTGCCCAGTGTATAAGACATTGGGATGAGAAACATTAAGTATTGCCCAGTGTATAAGACATTGGGATGAGAAACATTAAGTATTGCCCAGTGTATAAGACATTGGGATGAGAAACATTAAGTATTGCCCAGTGTATAAGACATTGGGATGAGAAACATTAAGTATTGCCCAGTGTATTTGTCAGTGGGATGAGGAACATTAAATATTGTCCAGTGTATAAGACATTGGGATGAGAAACATTAAGTATTGCCCAGTGTATAAGACATTAGGATGAGAAACATTAAGTATTGCCCAGTGTATTTGTCAGTGGGATGAGAAACATTAAGTATTGCCCAGTGTATAAGACATTGGGATGAGAAACATTAAGTATTGCCCAGTGTATTTGTCAGTGGGATGAGGAACATTAAGTATTGCCCAGTGTATAAGACATTGGGATGAGAAACATTAAATATTGCCCAGTGTATAAGACATTGGGATGAGAAACATTAAATATTGCCCAGTGTATAAGACATTGGGATGAGAAACATTAAGTATTGCCCAGTGTATAAGACATTGGGATGAGAAACATTAAGTATTGCTCAGAGACTTGTGTGTAGATTTGTATATGTACTTTTATTATCCAATGACAGATCTCAGTTATCTATTGTGTTCTTTTATTATCAGGTGTTTGCCAATCTCCACCAACAGAAGCAGCAAGCATTAGTAAGGGACTGGGTGATGCTATCTCTATCCAACTTTACACAGCGCACACCTATTGCCATGGCAATGTGGAGTCTCACTTGTTTCTTTATCAGTGCCTCAGTCAATCCCTGGCTGCGAGCCCTGTATCCTTTCTGTGGCATGTCTGCATTTAGTCTATCATTGTGGTATTTAATAGTGAATATTATCTGTTTTATGTTAAGTAGTGTATAGAATTATATCAAATACTGTAACACAGTAAGTAATTTAATTAATACAGTAAGTTTTATACATACCTGGTAACTACTAACTAGCCTGTCCCTGGTATTAAATACTGTAATATTATAGTGATATGATGAACACAGTAAATTTTATATATAACTTCTAACTAGCCTGTCCCTGGTCATAATACTGTTAGTGATGTACTGAACACAGTAAATTTTATATATAACTTCTAACTAGCCTGTCCCTGGTCATAATACTGTTAGTGATGTACTGAACACAGTAAATTTTATACTTAACGTCTAACTAGCCTGTCCCTGGTATTAAATACTGTAATATTATAGTGATATGATGAACACAGTAAATTTTATACTTAACGTCTAACTAGCCTGTCCCTGGTCATAATACTGTTAGTGATGTACTGAACACAGTAAATTTTATATATAACTTCTAACTAGCCTGTCCCTGGTCATAATACTGTTAGTGATGTACTGAACACAGTAAATTTTATATATAACTTCTAACTAGCCTGTCCCTGGTCATAATACTGTTAGTGATGTACTGAACACAGTAAATTTTATATATAACTTCTAACTAGCCTGTCCCTGGTCATAATAATATTAGTGATGTACTGAACACAGTAAATTTTATACATAACGTCTAACTAGCCTGTCCCTGGTATTAACTACTGTCTCAGTAATGTACAATGTAGTGTTGAATTCAAAATTTCCCTGTCTGATAGTGATTTTATAGGAGCATGTTTGTTTAGGCTATATCAAATAATCGATGGATAAAACACTTACCGTATTTCCATGTCAGATTGACTCTATGAAACATACTCAGTTGTTGTGACATTGAGCTTGACTGAACTTGCTCATCCAACTCCAGTTAAAATAGATGCTGTTAATTGAAGTTGAGATAACCAAGAAAATTGTTGAATTTCCCAGTGGAGTATCAATCCTTAACTTAATCAGCTTTAATCATGTAATAGGAAGGATGGGTCGAATGGATATTGTTGACCGTCGTCTGTTCTGCATCACGGCCATGGACTTCTACAACCAGCTGGTAGATGAGAGTCAGCGCCGGGCATTTACATCAACATTTATGGCAGTGTCCCAGCCAGGCATTGTGTACCAGGAACTGCTTCAACATATCAACAGTCTGCCCAAGTCTTAGAATTAACCTTTATCTAGTACATTTTAAAATACTGCGACATATCTAGAGTCCAGAGTCTTGGGAAGTGAGAGATGATGGTAGTGATATCTATGCCCTGGTGTTCTACATCTGGGGAAGCGAGAGGTGACAAAGTGGTATCTATGTCCTTATGCAGAGAGGTCATAGTCACCATGACACACTGCCAATGAGTCTAGCCATGATGCTTCAAAAAAGAATGGATGAAATTTGCTTCCTCATGTGATTACTTGGTAAACGATAAACCCATTGCTGCTTTAAGGCTTAAGGCTTGAAGCACCAAGTTTATTGTTGAAGGAATGTAGAACAGAATAGTTTCACTACCAAATGTTTTAGTACAAAGCCTGTATATCCTGCCTATAAGAAATCGTGCCAACAGGAATGTGTGATTTACCTGGAAATCTCTGTAATGGAGCACTTAGATATTATAAGTGTAAAAAGAAATTGTTGACATGTATAAGCTTGCTTTGTGAAAAATTCTTATTATATGGTGGTGAAGGAATGCCCTATAACCTCTGGATTATGGAATATATTCAGCCATCATAAGATTGCATAAAGTGTAGTTATATATCTTTATATATAAGTGATAAAACTATTACCTTTGTGTTCTTTATTGTTCAGACACCCAATCAGCACAGCTTATTCTTATGTGTGACCTCCTTATCTTCCAATCAGAAAAGCTTCTGTCTTAAAGATATTTATATATATATATGATGTGATGTATTTCTATAATTGATAGTAATGTGGATGGTATGTCTGTGGAAGGAATAGAGGATCGGGCTGCTGTAATATGTGAATCACCACAACAGTTCCTCAGCAAGGTCAAATGTAGGATGGGTTGTATGTGCAGTAATAATAGGAAGGTAAGACGGTAGGAAAACAAAAGGGAAATCTTCACATTCCTCTGTAGGAAACAAGATATGACTTATTCTCCATTCCCAATTATGAAAAATACGGGACTGTATTTAAATACTGTTTAAAACATTCCTTCAGGCTGTTTTATCTTTATAAGAGATTTAATCTGAAGTGATTGAAATAGTTGGATGGAAGGTTGAATAATCACAGGTGGTAATACAAGAAAAAAAGTGCTATTGTTTTGTATATTTCCTTGTATATTTATATATGTATATATGTCTCAAAGCTGTATCATGTGAAAATCTTAACATTACTGCTAATTTTCAGTATTCAGGCTTTTAGAAATACAACTGTTATAGCCAAATGTCATTATAGATTGAATGAAAGGAGTATGGTGATAAAGGTAAAATTGACCTAGAAGGTTGATGTTGAATTTGATTAAAAGTGTATTAATTAGCTAGAAATAAACTTGATTTAGGAGAGCTATTGTTAAACTATTAGTGTGATAAACTCTACTAAAAGATTCTAGTCTAGGTGAACCTGAACTTTATAAGCAATACATTACAGACAATGACTGCAATATGTCTTTTAAGTGTCATTACTCTTCATACCAAATATCATAGCTGATGAGGCTAATGCCAAGTATTTAATTAGCAGTAATAGTATAACTAGTGGTACATCTGTATAAACATTCAGAATACATAATATCTGTATGTGTATAGATAATGTAACAAGTGGGATGGATGTTAGTAGTAAAGGATGAATGTGTAAGGCAGATTATTGTTGAATATTTATGTTGTAACCAGTGTGTTTACAGGTTTGGTCCCTATATGTGATTTATATTGATATCAATGCAAACTTACCCGAAGCTGTTCACACTATGAAATGGTTGTACACAGGAAACAAAAAAAAATTAGTGGTAACTTTATCATGATATGACAGTTAGAATGATCTCGTGTTGTATTGTATGTTTGTTTGTGAATTTGTTTGTTTGTTATTTGACATTCCATATTGAGACTTTAGTGTTCATAAGCCTGCAAAAAACAAATTGGTGAAATTAAACTTCTCAAGGTTATGTCAGTGTGATTTAAACTTCTGAAGGCCATGTCAGTGTGATTTAAATTTATCTAGGTCATGTCATTGTGATTTAAACTTTTCAAGGTCATGTCAGTGTGAATTAAACTTCTCAAGGTCATGTCGTTGTAATTACAACTTCAAGGTTATGTCAATGTTATTTGGCCATTTCACCTCTCAAGGTCATGTCAGCGAGATCAATACTCTCAAGGTCATATCCTTGTAATAACACAGTGTTATTTCACCATTTCAGATTTCAAAGTCATGTCAGTATAATTGCTCTTCTCAAGGTCACACCAGTACGATCAGGTCACATATATAAATCTAAGCTGTAAAGGTCAAATTTGTACAGATGTGTTGAGATGTAATTTTCTGGTTTGGTTACATGCCAAGTGAAATATTAGTGTAAACTCTGTGGTTTCTATGAATGTTATTGATATATTGTAATGCTTTTTACTAGTAGTATTTATACAGTGATGTAGTCTGCAGACCTGTCGCTAGTATGTAGTGGTGACCTGTCACAGTATGGTAATGATAGGTTTGTATTTCTGCCACCCATACATGCCTGACTGTCTACTTTGGAGAAGTTGTGTTTCTTTTCTTTTGAAGTTCCTAGGGCTTACATTTACCCTATACATTTTTTTACCTCATAATTATATAAAAACAATAGCTTAGTTACAAAATTACCTGTGATGTGCTCAGTGTTCACATTCACTGAGTTGGTGTGCTGCATAAGTAGTGATGATACAATCAATTTACTGGAATTGAAAATCATCTTTGTTATATCAGGGTTATAACTATATCAAGAATAAATTAATGACCATGCAATGTGTTCTGTATTTCAGTATAGGTAGGAATTAAATTGTTTAGAGTTATGAATTTGTAGTATGGTGATGAAATACACTGAATGATGATGTTACTGTCATATAAGTAATTGCTGAAGCCATCTGTTGCTAAAATTACACTGTAAACTTGGCTATCATTTGTTATTTTCTACTCAAACTTCATTTACTAGTTCTCTATTAACTGCCTTAATATGAAAATTGATGAAAGGTGAGAAGTACATATGTACATGTGCACAGAATTTCATGAAAAAAAAAACTACAGATAAACAGCTTTATTAATGAGAGGTTTATTCATTGCTGTATCGCTAACCTCTTATCAAACAATATCTGGTCATGGCCTTCAAAATCATGGGCGACAGGGTGTTTTAAAGATTCATTAGGTAAAAAGATATCCTAATCTATTGTATAGGTATCATTTATGTTGGCATTGAAATTATGTTATATTTAAACATTTTTTTGACTTTATTAGATAAAAAAATTGAATAAAAACTTTTCAATATTGATCAAAGCTGAAGAAATATCAGACCATTCCTTTTTTCTCGTGATTTGAACAGATCAGTGTGTGGTCAGTGTCAGGTTCACATTTATGAAATCAGGTGAGTTGGGATACTGAGTTTGCAAATGTATAGAAGACTTATCAGCCCCAGGGTTTATGAGGATATTGGGATAGACTGGTCTAAGCTAGTTTGTGGAATGTGATATCATTTGGAACACCTTGGCTGATTCCTGCAGTCATCTTACCTTTGATGGAAGTGACTGGAAAGGGAGGGAGGTGTTCCAAAATGGGGTGATATAAAAGAGTTGTGAGAGGTTTATCAACCTTTGTCTGTGAGGCAATTCTTGGCAATAAGTCCTGGAGATAAAAACCTGTAAGTTAGGAGTAGCAAGTAGGTTAGTCCAGATTAGACTAGGTTGATTGGAGAAGTCCAAGGGTCCAGGACGGGTTAACTGTAAGAAGTATGTGACTAACACTCACTCAGATAACAGTACCTGTAGTTTTCCATCTCATTGATTTATCCTGTCTGAAGACATTGCCTCACTGACAAACATCAGTGTTTAGGTGACATGTTTTGTAGGTAAAGCTAGTGATCAGATTTATGAGGGTCACAGGTTAGGAGTTTGTAGGGATGAGAGGTTAGGTTAGTCTTCTAATCTATAGTCCTGTCAGAGGTAAGTGAGGGTTACAGATTAAACTAGTCTACTCCACAGGTATGTGGGGATGAGAGGTTAGGTTAGTCTTCTAATCTATAGTCCTGTCAGAGGTAAGTGAGGGTTACAGATTAAACTAGTCTACTCCAGGTATGTGGGGATGAAAGGTTAGGTTAGTCTTCTAATCTATAGTCCTGTCAGAGGTAAGTGAGGGTTACAGATTAAACTAGTCTACTCCAGGTTTATAGGGATGAAAGGTTAGGTAAGTCTTCTTATCTATAGTCCTGTCAGAGGTAAGTGAGGGTTGCAAATTAGACTAGTCTACTCCAAGTTTGTAGGGGTGAGAGGTTAGGTTAGTCTTCTTATCTATAGTCCTGTCAGAGGTAAGTGAGGGTTACAGGTTAGACTAGTCTACTCCAGGTTTGTAGGGATGGGAGGTTAGGTTAGTCTTCTTATCTATAATCCTGTCAGAGGTAAGTGAGGTTACAGGTTAGACTAGTCTACTCCAGGTTTGTGGGGATGAGAAGTTAAATTTGTCACCTTCATTTTTTATGTTACAGGTTATGCTTAGAATTTTGTGATTTTATAATTTAGTCTACTTTGACAGTTTTTGGGGATTGGAGTTTCCCCTGTCAGGTCCTATATGTCACTGATGATATAATGTGTTTTATAACTTGTAACACATTAACTGTGAGTTCCGTAGATCAGCACACTTCAATATATGTTCGTGTACTTCACCATATACCAGGCATGTGCTTGTGTTTTATGATGCTTGTAATGGCATTTCTATGTATGAATAAAATTCTTCAAAGATTTGTGTTATATTTTTTTGTCCTATATTGTTATTCAAAGTGTTAAACATCATATGATTGTTATAGAAACTGGAAACACCTGATTTTTCCACTGGAAAGACAAAGGATGCTTGATAACAATGGTTCCATGTGCTGGATGGTTGATTTTATAAGCCAGAGAATGCATTTAATTAGATAAAAATTTGTTATATTATCAATGAAGAGGAGAGACCTATATTTTAAGTTATATTTACAATGTTGAGGAGACACCAATGTTCTCTGTTATATTAACAATGTTGAGGAGAGACCAGTGTTCTCTGTTATATTTACAATGTTGAGCAGACACCAGTGTTCTCGGTTATATTTACAATGTTGAAGAGAGACCAATGTTCTCTGTTATATTAACAATGTTGAGGAGAGACCAATGTTCTCTGTTATATTTACAATGTTGAGGAGAGACCAATGTTCTCTGTTATATTTACAATGTTGAGGAGAGACCAATGTTCTCTGTTATATTTACAATGTTGAGGAGAGACCAATGTTCTCTGTTATATTTACAATGTTGAGGAGAGACCAATGTTCTCTGTTATATTTACAATGTTGAGGAGAGACCAATGTTCTCTGTTATATTTACAATGTTGAGGAGAGACCAATGTTCTCTGTTATATTTACAATGTTGAGGAGAGACCAATGTTCTCGGTTATATTTACAATGTTGAGGAGAGACCAATGTTCTCTGTTATATTTACAATGTTGAGGAGAGACCAATGTTCTCGGTTATATTTACAATGTTGAGGAGAGACCAATGTTCTCGGTTATATTTACAATGTTGAGGAGAGACCAATGTTCTCTGTTATATTTACAATGTTGAGGAGAGACCAATGTTCTCGGTTATATTTACAATGTTGAGGAGAGACCAATGTTCTCTGTTATATTTACAATGTTGAGGAGAGACCAATGTTCTCTGTTATATTTACAATGTTGAGGAGAGACCAATGTTCTCTGTTATATTTACAATGTTGAGGAGAGACCAATGTTTGTGATATATTCTGAAGTAGAACAGCCAATGTCTTCAAATCAAATTTTTATGTAGGATGACAAAAATCATCACAAATTAATGTCTTGATGAATTGTTAAGTTTCCATAGACCTCTTTTGTCTGCCACAATTCTATAGTCAGAACATACCATCAGAAATGACTGGATATATCATTCGACAGAGTACTTTAGAACTGGTATGTAAATCTGAAGGTTTAACACACTAATGAACTGGAGATCCATAAGATGATGTATGTTCGAGGGTGACAATTATCTTTTTCCTTTGACAGTGTACATTAGAACTGATATATAATACTAATTGTGCAAGGGAGAAAACTCTAAGTACACTTGTGAAGAATTAATATATATCCTTTGAAACAGTACATTAGAACTATTATGTAAATCTGAAGGTTAGACTTAAGATATATGAGATGATGTATGTTCAAGGGAGACAAGTCGTGGTACACTTGCGTAAGATTTTCCATGTGCAGGCATCCTATTAGGATGATGTCTTTTAATGGCTCTCTAATAGATAAGGAAAGCTCAATTTTGCTTTAAATCCTTTATTCAATCAACAAGTACGGTTCTAAAATGTTATAAATCAGAAGCTATCTGGAAGACAATGCCCAAACTGTTTATATCTTGTCTGATCTTTCTTCTTTCTTCTGAAGTTTCTCCCCAAGAGAAATGGGTGAAAAAAGTTTCAAGATAGCTTCCAAATTAACGGAGCGTAACCTACGCATGTAGTGTGTTGGATCTATCTACAAATCAACGAATCATCACAATCAACATGAGCATTTCCATACTAGCAATTTATTTACAGTTCAAAGTTACTCTGATCCCAGCCTGGATAGCCATTCATACTTTTAATGACACAAGTATTTACTTTTGTACTGTAGTTTTATTTGTATCTCTTCACAGGAAAAACAGAGAAAAAACAATTGATAGAAGGATATATGTCTCTTCCTTCAGAAGTTATCAGTGTTCCAAATATGAGAATCCTGAATAAAACCTATCAAATATTGTCTTACAGCTGAACTAGAATCAAAAGTATTTCAATATTTAAACAGTGTGAAGGATAGTGAGGCTGGGATATAGAGTCTACAGACAGATAATGTCCTGTTATCACTACATAAGTGACATAAACACACAATAAGTACACATTGACCTGACAAACATACAACACACCGAAACCTGTCTTAAACAACACCCGTCCAGCTGGTCATTATAGGCACTGTGTCATATTACACAGATTCTTAATTACTGCTGATTGTGTCATGGACTGAAAATTAGTGTGGATCGGACAGTGATGTACGGACAGATGACCTTTAGAGAGACGGAGAGATGTCAGCTAGGACAGGCTCTGATGTAGCTATACAATCTGTCAGGTTTTAGAATCTACACAGCATCTTTTGTTTTTACATTAAAAACTGAAATTTCAATAATCAATAAGCAGAACATAATTATGTCCTGCAAGAATATAGAATATATGAGATTCTGGTGTTCCAATTCAAACTAAACAGAATGAAAAAGTCAACTCTGATCCTGCATTGTAGTGCTAGCATGCATGTTTGTCATGGCAGTGGGGTACTGTCTGTACTGGTAATCCTGTATATGTTTGCTATGACAGCCAGACCTGATACAGGTTGTGACAGATTGACCAGGTACAGGTCATTCCAGGTCATGACAGACAGACCAGGTACAGGTTGTCCCAGTCATGACAGCCAGACCAGGTACATGTCGTCCCAGTCATGACCGCCAGACCAGGTACAGGTCATTACAGGTCATGACAACCAGACCTGATACAGGTTGTGACAAATTGACCAGGTACAGGTTGTCCCAGTCATGACAGCCAGACCAGGTACATGTTGTCCCAGTCATGACCGCCAGACCAGGTACAGGTCATTACAGGTCATGACAGCCAGACCTGATACAGGTTGTGACAGATTGACCAGGTACAGGTCATTCCAGGTCATGACAGCCAGAGCAGGTACAGGTCATTACAGGTCATGACAGCCAGACCAGGTAGAGGTCATTACAGGTCGTGACAGCCAGACCAGGTACATGTCCTCCCAGTCATGACAGCCAGACCAGGTACAGGTCATTCCAGGTCATGACAGCCAGACCAGGTACAGATTGTCCCAGTCATGACAGCCAGACCAGGTACATGTCCTCCCAGTCATGACAGCCAGACCAGGTACAGGTCATGGCAGTCAGACCAGGTACATGTCGTCCCAGTCATGACAGCTAGACCAGGTACAGGTCTCCTTTGCCATAACTGGTACAGGTCAGCCCTATCTACCAAGCCTTGATGGCCAGACTTTGTAGAGGTCCACTTCACCATGACAGTAAGACTTGGTATAAGTCTACTCAGACATGACACCCAGACCTGTTACAGTTCCACTCAATTATGACACCCAGACAAAGTCTGGTAGAGGTCCACCCAGTCATGCAGCCCAACTTGGACAATTAGCTTGAGTGTGTTGACCAGGCTATAATATCTTGGTATATCATCCCATGACAGACCTTACACTGATGTAAAGATTAAAGAATCCTTAATTGATGATGGTGCTGATAAAACACATCCCTCACAGCAATCAGTCATGGCCAAGGAAAAAAGAGGAGCATGTATGTCAGTTCACAGTCTCTTCAGACTGGACAGAGTGCTTCATTTGTCTTTTATAGTACCAGTCTATACAACAAGACATAGTGTAAATACAATATAGGAGAGTAACTTCTAGGCAGTGTGATGTAATACATCACCATACAGTGTAATACAACAATTTACATTGTTATACCACAACATATCTATGTAATATTACAACATATTTAGTATATATTGTAATACACTGTAACATGTTCACTTATTGTAATACCATAACATTTGTAACGTAACAAAACTATTAAGTAGGAATACAACAGAAATGATATTCTGTAAAACAATTGGAATATTATGCTCATCATGAATAAAAAAATTGATACAAACAAAATAAAAAGAAATAATAACTTATTTCACACCAACAATAACAAGAAAATAAATTATACAACAATAATGTATCAACTCGTTAACACTTGTCAGAGAGATCAGGGTCAACATGACCTATTTCAATATTCTGGAATGATGAATCATGGGAACTGCTGTGACAAAACGATATGATTGGGGATTGGCCACAGGGGCCTTGTGGAAATATTGTAGCATGCATTTGAGGAGACTGAGTAATATATACAGATATTTGTGAGGAGTTTCCGAAGTACAACTCAACATAGAAGAAATATTGGTCTAGTTTGATTAAATAAGACAATTTTGTCACTAACCTTAGATTTATTGACATAAGGGCAGACAACCCTGCATGATAAATAGATGTTTGACCCCTGGTCACAACCTGACTATATATGTGAGGTCACTGGAATGTACTAATGATTGTATTTAATTGATCACTATGTATCACCTTGTCATACCTTGCTGTAAAAGCTGAATACACTGCACTATAACATGTTCAAACAACATCATACATGTATCAATAATCAGTTTCCAGGAAAAATTAAAGCTGAGTAAAAACGCATGAAATGTAATTTGCATATTTGTTATTTGTTAGTAGAGTTGTGTTAATAAACAAAAGATAGCGAGTAAACCAGTAATTGGAGTGTTTATAGATTGTTAGATATACAAGGTAGGGGCCAAGAATTGCCTCATAGATCATACAAAAGTAGTGGACAGTCAATCCTAGCAAGGAGCTCTGGCTGGACCCAGTAGTCCTAAGTAGGAATCTAGAATCACCAAGTAAGGGTATAATGTAGTCCCATAGGTCATCCTAAGTAGGGTAGTGACCGGTAGTGACTCCTTAGGTTCATCACACAGGTACAGTATAGATTGTCTTCACTAGTGTAATAGGGGTATACTGTAGCCATACCTAACATGGCCCCTTGGTCCCTATGTACTGTAACATGGCCCCTTGGTCCCT